ACAGACTATCAGAAACTGACAAGGGGTGAGATGACTGATGTTCCAGGCCAGAGACCCAACAGGTAACCAGAACCACCCTGGCACCCGCTCCTGAAATGCCAGAACACTTTAACAAGGCATGCAACACACTTCCTAGCACGTTACCATCCAGCGCCATGTGGGAGCACTGGGCTTAATGGTAATTTAGAGGGGGAGGCAGTCTTCAAAGAGCAGACCAGGAACTTAACATATTACTTGCTAGCATTTTCCTGGGACATCACTTATTCTGCAAAGCTCATCCCATACCTGGTGGGATACCAATTTACCAATGGATGCAGCAGCTGCACTGGACACCATTTCTTTTGCCTGCCCATCCCAGCACTTGTCTTTACTTCTGCTTTTAAATGTTTTTGTTTTGGGGTCTGGTGTCTTTCTCTCCATTGTGTACCCATTAACCCTCCACATTTTTTTCCTTCCTCCCAGCTTTGTGCCTGCTCTCAAGCGCCTGACCTTAGGCCTCATCTGTCTGGTAATCTACACCCTGTTGAGCCCATATGTTTCTGACGAATACTTTCTCTCTGATAAATTCCTGGTAAGTGGCTAACCTTGGTCATTAGAGCTGTAGAAGCTAATCTGCTCCTTTAGAGGGCACTTGCTACACAAAACAGGAAGATTAAACTGAATGAAAACATTTTTTTGAGATTACCTGTAACTGATCCTGAATGTAAAACTAGGCATTCTTAAACATATGTATTAATGGAGTTCTTACTGCAGGTGTTGTGGACTGCATCTAATTAAAAACAGCAGTATATCTGATTACAAATTGAACCAGAATTCTAGGAATAGAATGATAATTGTAGAACAACCCTATTAGTGTTGCTGTTGGAACCGTAACATTTGCATTTCTTGATCCTTTAATGATACCAGTCTTTAATCATTACTATAACAAAGTTCTTTGCATATCATTTCTTAGGTTTTGTTGGAAGTATGGAAGTCACAAAGATATCATGGACACTTCATAAATCAAAATGTCCCCAGTGCCAGCATTCATTCAGGAACCTGCCTCTCTGTCATATTACTTCAAGCTTACCCAGCAAAATCAGCTGGCTGTGCAGATCTACTCATTTTTGCTGGAGACTGATCTAAATATTTGAGATCCTTAGAAAAAAGGGCAATTCTACATTACCATGAGCAAATGTGTACTTAAGATTTTTATTTCTAGAATTTAGTCCAAAGTCTTTCCAGAATAGCTATGTTAGTGCGTCTGGTGGTTTGTGGCTTTACAGCAGTCGGATTACATTAGGTCTGTGGTGCTCAACCTTTTGGCCCCACAGGCCAGATAAGTAGTGTGGGGCTGGTCTTGCAGATTGGACCCTGGGGCTTGGCACCACCCGCATGTGCACTGGGAATGGGTCTTAGATCCTGGGCCAGCTGCTGCTGTTCCCTGTGCTCAGGCAGTGGTTCCCAAGGGCCCAGCACCATCCATCCTGTCTCCCACGCACTGGGATTGAGGACTGGGGGCCCAGCACCATCCCCTGTGTGCCGGGATTGGGTCCCAGAGGCGTGCCCTTTTTTGGCCCCAACATATTGCGATTGAATCCTGGTGGCCTGGTGCTACCCTCTGCTGGTCCACCACACCAGGATTGGGCCCTGGGTCCTGGTGCTGCCTCTACCCAGCCCTGTGTGCTGGGATCAGGTATCAAATCCAGCACATTGGACTCAGGGCTCCCCATAGTTCCAGAGGTTTAGGAACAGGGGAGCAGTGGCACCACTCCCCCACCACCAAATTTCCAGACCTGTGGGGAGGTCTGCAGGCCGAATGACACTCTGCTGTGGGCCAGAGGTTGAGTGCCCCTGCATTAGATTGTAGCAGCTATATTAGCTGTCTCCCTTAACTTTTAGAACAGCTAGTATAAAAGAGATACCATCCACTCAAGTCTAGTAATGCCATTTCTCACTCAAGTCTCAACTCCTTTCTTTTTTTTCCTTCTTCTCATGGATTCTTTCTAATTCTCTGCAGGAGCAGTCTTTCTGGTTCCGTTGCTTTTACATGTTGGTCTGGGGCAAAGTGGTACTCTATAAATATGTCACCTGCTGGCTTGTCACGGTGAGTCTGGAAGGCAGATGTACTCTGTAAAAATCTACCCTTTTAAGATGCAACACAGATGCATTAAAGTTTGAGCCCCTGCAGCTGCTAAGCTCTGCCCTCTTCCCCTAGGGCTGCCGTGACACTGAGGGGAGGGAGTCATGTATCGCCTGTAACCTAGTTGCGTTCCCGTCCTCACCCCCCTCCCTCTATTGTTAGTCTCTTGCTCAGGCACTCTGTATTTCCATATCAGCTTTGTCATCTTTTTTCTGGATTCCCCATCCAAAATATCTACTAATAAAAGTCAATCTGTTCTGGACAAAGAATGGATGCTAGCCAGTGGCTACTCAGTTCTGCTGTTACTAGCAAGCAGGGAAGTAGCTGGTAGCTGTTTGGTTGTGCCACTGGAGGAGATCTTGCGATTGCTTAACCTTGGCCTCTCTAGGAGGGGGTGCTGCTTTTCCCTTATCATGTGGTTTGTCACAGGAAGGCGTTTGCATCCTCATTGGTCTTGGATACAATGGGCAGGATGAGAATGGAAAGCCAAAGTGGGATGCCTGTGCCAATATGAAGGTCTGGTTATATGAAACAACACCATTGTTTACAGGAACCATCGCATCCTTCAACATCAACACTAATGCCTGGGTGGCCCGGTGAGCAGGGGAGATATAGATTGTTTCATATAGTATCATCTCAACCCAGACCCAGCCAGAGTTGCAAATGGGATGCGGGGCTTGATGGGCTCCGTGGCTGGGACAGGGATGTTAAAATGGAGTGAACAACTTTCAGTCTTGTGTGCATTAAGGAGTCCTATTGAAATTGCTTGGTGGTTTGAGATGGCTTTTAGCTGGACAAATGCTTGGTCATGCTCCTACTAAGCAGGCATTGCCAGCAGAGCGAACTCTCCCCATCAGTCAGGATTCCATCAAGTCAGGGGTAATGTAGATTGGCAGAATTTGTCCTGTTTCACTGGCCGTAGGTTACTAAGAGGCATTCAGTCTCCTGTGCCCTATGTCTCCAGCCTGGAAAGGGGAGGGTAACTAACCAGTTAGAATTGCACTGAGTTGTTGCATCTCTGATCCAGCTACATCTTCAAGCGGCTGAAGTTCCTTGGCAACAAGCTACTGTCACAGGCACTAGCTTTGTTTTTTCTGGCTATTTGGCATGGATTGCATTCTGGCTACCTGGTGTGCTTCCAAATGGAGCTCCTTATAGTCATTGTTGAAAAACAGGTAAGTTTTGTCTGGTGTATTAGAAGGGGAGGGCCCACCATACCCAAGTTCCTGTGGGCTCTAGTTACTCCTAAGTCTGCAGCAGCTTTTAGGAACTGCCACAGGGGAGGGTTTATGAGAATCAACTACAAAACTGATCTGTTCTACGAGCTTTTGGCATATGGGCTGGTGCATGCAAGCACTCAGTAAACTGAGTTTCTGCATCAGTTATCTGTCACTACCATACAAACTGGCAGAGGAATGCTAGTGCTTGAACAAATGGCAGTTGAAGCTCTTAGCAACTGCAAAGCTGGCAAGACAAGCACACAAGCTTGATGCTTCTGCTAAAACTTCATTTCATCACTTAAACTATGGCTTTTATACTTAGTTCCAGCAGACTTAACAATAAAATTCTGAGCTGGATAGAGCATTTCACCCCCTTCAGATGTAGTATTTGAGAACTGCAGTGGAGTCTAATTCAATAATCATAGAATGCAAACAATCCTGCATAGGTTGCCCCAGGAGGTCTTATTACAGGTGGGGAATTCTAGTGGCCAATTTCTGTTTTTTTTCAGGCTGTCAGTCTGGTGCGCAACAGCCCTGCACTGAGCACTTTGGCCTCTATCACTGTCCTGAAGCCTGTCTTCTATGTGCTGCAGCAGACTAACCACTGGATGTTCATGGGTTACTCCCTAGTGCCATTTTGCCTTTTCACTTGGGACAAGTGGCTGAAGGTACACAAGTCTCAAAATGCCTTTTTTTTTCCTCCCCCCTCTCCTAACTTGAAGGTACAGCAAGCAGAAGAGGTTTTAATATGATTTTCTTCTCCACAGGTTTACAGCTCAGTTTATTTCATAGGCCATGTGCTGTTCCTCACCTTACTGTTTGGGTTGCCTTACATCCACAGAATGCTTGTGCCACGGAAAGAAAAGTTAAAGAAAGCAGAGTAACAGCCAGAAGGTGAGAGAGAGAGCCTTCAATCTAACACCTTGAGAGGAGCTCAAGGCTAGAATGATGGGAGAGCAAAGCTGTAGATCAGGATTGAGATTAGTGCTTTCAGCTGGAAATTGCTTTGTTTATAATCCTGACTCATTATCTCTTCCAGATTGTACCATGTGTGCATTTGTCACAAGGGTGTTTGGAGTCCTTGCCTGCCAAGTTTGCTGTGTTGAAGTCCAACCCTTCTTTCAAAGTGAGGAGGGGGGAAGAGAGAGCACAGGGTCAGAGATCCAAGGACAAGGGATACAGGAGAAAACCTCCCTCCAGTACCCCCACACTACATGTTGCCTTATCTCTCTACTGCCCCCTGGTGGACACTCCCATTTTTCTGCTGGTATCAGATGATTGTAAAGCACTCAACACAGCCCCTACATGGGAATGGAGCCACATCCTGACTTTTCTACGTTTCAGTTATGCCAGATAAAAAAATCTGTTTTTATTCACTCATTCACAAGCTGCTTCTTCTGTTGGATAGGTATGAGTGAAAAGTATAAGCCCCCCCCACTTGGCACAGTAGTTCTCAAGACCTGTACCATATGAGCTGTAGAGTGTCTGGCTGCCAGCGGGTTAGCAGAGCATGGCTCTGTTACTCCTGCCCATACTGTCCATTGCAGCTGAAGCAGAGAAATCTAGTTCCCTCCTTGCAACAAACCCACACCCTTCAGAATATCTCCAGAATTTCTCCTGTGCCTTTTACCAAATACAAGAACTGTCCAAACGTACAGATGTATCAAAATAGCTTTTAATATGTTGAAAGTAAACAGCTACCCCTGAAGGGCCTTTCTTAGCATCTGACCCTCAGGAGTAGCAGAGAAAAACTCTCAACTGTGCACTTGCTCCTCTTTGGAAAGGACAGGAGCCGAAGGCTGTCTCACATACAGACTTCAGTAAAACAGCACCAAAATCTGCAATATGTAAGGAGTCCATTTTCACCAGGGCAAGAACAAAAGGGCTCATGCCACTCCCCAAACCTCCTCAAAGGCTGTAGTGATCTTGGCACAAGTCAATGCAGCAGAAAGAGGATAGTTGCTGATAGAAACCATCTTCTCTGTATAGTCAACATCCAGCTGAAGAAAAGGAGAGAAAAAGTGAGGGAGAAGCAAAAATAAACCCTTTCACCTAGTGAGCTACTGCCCTCTACTGCTATAGAAGCCCTAGCATTTAGCATGCACACAGCACTCTCCCCACCTCCAAAAAACAAAACTGAAATGCAGCTGCCTCTGGGATAGTCAAGAACAACCTCTAATGCCAGATGTCATTGCTGCTGAAACCACAGGAGAACAGAATTGCCTTGACAAAAGTTAAAACCCTAATGTCAGAAAAAGTGAAAACAAATAGCACAACAAATACAACTGTCATATGGGAGCGGAGGTGGGAGGACAGAAAGAGGCAGGGGGAGGAGGAAGGGTTCAGACCAAAGGTCTGTCTAGCCCAGTTGCCTGTGTCTGATAGGAAAGTAGTAGATGCTTTAGAATAGAGTGATCCCTCCCCTGTCATACTTTCTCCGTGTGCCTGGGTAGTAAATTGTTTCAAACAGCACCAGAAAAAGCTTTAAACAAGTGCACACTACTCTCAGGTTAGTATACTTTCACTGCTAGGAATCTGTACTGACAAGAAAAACACCCCATAAGATGGATCCATTGTCCTGCTTGGACATCAGAATGGTGTGTGCAAGCGCACGAGACCTACCGAGCCATGGGCAAAAGCTCCCACAACAATAGCAACAGGCTGTTCTTCAGGAACCAGTTTGCGTGCATCTGTCACATCAGGAGCTGAGAAAGAAGTGCCTATCTTCATGCAGCCCACAGGAAGATGATCAGTCACTGGATTTTTAATTACCTGCAAAAGTGGGGGGGAATGTTAGTACAGTATCAGGGAGAGATTGACTTTTATTAGTAGATGTTTTGGATTGGGAATCCAGAAAAAAGATGACAAAGCTGATATGGAAATACAAAGCGCCCAAGTGAGGGACTAACAAGCTCTAAGTCTTCAACATGTGGCCATTCCCTACCACATTCTCAACTCATTGGGAGCAGTCAGGAAATTGCCTCTAAAAGACCCGTAAGTTTTTTTTACCTTCAAAAGTTTCTGCGGTCCATCAGCTGATCGGACACTGAGTTTATGCAGCAACTGAACTGGCAGGAGACAAGATAAAAAATGAGAAATCTTCCTGCTCCATCCTACATTCAGAAGCAAGAGCTAGGAAAAATCACCCTAAGATTTCATCTCTAAGACTCCTTGTTTCCACTGTTTTGAGCCATTAGACTTCCTCATGGAAATACCCCTGAAATGTGGCTCCAGAGCTCTCTTAACTCACTCTCATTTAATTATCTCAATTCTCGCAAACAATGCATCCCTGGGGTCTGCATCCCCAGACTCGTTGTAGAATTGTTCTGCTTTTCTCCTGGAATTGAAGGTTTGTTGAAGCAGGTGTAACTTGCTCCTTCAGTCTTCCCAGAAAGGCTTGGCTTCCCCAACTCCCTCCCCAGGCTGTCACACAGACAAGCAACAGCTTGAATCTCTTACCCATCAGACCACAAAAACGGTCAAATGTGCGGGGAATCCTTGTCTGAGGGTTTACTTCAATCAGCACGTTCTTCTGTGTGTGGATGTACACCTGCAGCAAGCCAGCCCGGTTCAGGGGACTGTCCATGAGCATCAGGAGGCTCTGGGGTGGAAAAACAAACAGGAAGCAGGCAAGGCCATGCAACTCAGTGATACAGGGCAGGGCAGGGCAAAGCAGTGGGCACCAGCACCTGGTCCACAGTCACCAGGAGCTGCTTTGCCCAGGCAGGGGTGGGGAATGCCATGACTTGGGAGATGGACTCTGCAGCGCTACTTGCAGAGAGCTCACCCTTCACAGAAGGGCTAGGGAGGAGCTGCCAGCAAAGGCCCCAAGGAGGGTAAGGAA